ACCCAGGTTAAATGAGTACAAACTAAAACTATCCTAGGTTAAATTTGGCAAAATGAAGACTAATTCAGGTGTAATTAATAAAAACTGAGACTAACCCAGGTTAAATTGTTGTGAACAGCGCCACCTGCTGGTGATATCTGCAGTTAAGCAGGAAGATGGGAAACCGTTTCCGTCACAACATGGATGAGCATGGATGCAGACAGGAGGGTGGAAACTGTACAACATAATTACTCTGTAGCAGTTGTACGTTTCTTATCAGCAAGGCCACATTCTTCTCGGGCAGAGCCTGATCTCTGCGTCTCACACAATGAAGACGCTGTGCGCCACGAAAAGACAAAGATAATGGCATTCCTGCTTTAGGGCCAGTCCTGTCATCACGTTGTCGAGGAGTGCTCGCCTCCTTTTTCCACCGTGGTTAACTGTCTCCGCTGCCAGCGCTGATTTCATCTTCCACACCAGAACCGGCCTGAGATGGCGGCCTTGACCTTCATCGCGTGCAGACTCCACATGCTGCGTTTCCTGCCACCATCAGCTCCAGAAGGCCGGCTGCTTGACAGACGTTCAGAGCTTTTATCTCCCTCATGGCCTCTTTAAGTTCAAGAATCACCCTGGTGTGCTCGCCTCGCTCAGGAGACTAACCTAACAAGAGAGCAGGTTGACTTCAGAGTCTGTTACCATGGCGATGGTTTAACTAAATTCAGTTAACTGAGTTTTTATTAAACCTTCTTCCTGATGACTTCTGCCTCCCTGCAGTTTGTGTTGAACTGTATCTCCACTGTTTCTTATTGTTGTGTGGTCTGAAGCAACAGGCAACTTCTGCATTTCCTTCACGACAATAAAGTCTTATCTTTTATTATGTTTCATTTTGTTTCATTATGTTTCATTATGTTTCATTATCTTCTAGCTGGTGTTATAATGAGGTATTAATATTAATTACATGTAATTTATTCAGCCTCTACAATCCAAAGAGACATGTTAAATAAAATGTGTCCAGAGCCACAAAACATGACATCAACACTTGCTTATTACATTATGTAATTCTGAATTTATGATAAACTCGGACAATAATTGGTATTTTTGTATGTTTGGACAAAAAAAACATAAATACTTGTGAAAAAAAGGAGAAAAGTATTTTAAGCTCATAAAATCAAAACACAACACTTAGTGTGGCTGTATCTGTGGAAAAAGTCAATTATTCCATTTTTAAATAAAGTTAATTTCATCCATCATCTTTACCTGATTCTTCTTTTTCAGGTCACGGGGGTCACTGGTGTTCAAATCCAGCTGTCACTTTGTTGGACATATAACTGTATTTATTAAAACAGAGACCTCTATACTTCTGCTTTAATTATGTTTTTAGTAAAACTAACTGTTACACTTGAAAGTTTGTGAACTCTTTATAATTTTCTATATTTCTGCATAAATATGATCTAAAACATCATCAGATTTTCACACACGTCCTAAAAGTAGATAAAGAAAGAGAATAATAAGTGCTGTGTGTTGTCATCATGTACGTTTCCATACAAAGATGAAATTAGTTCTCTGCATTTAACCCATCGCACCTGGGGGATACACGCAGGTGGAGCAGCGGGCAGCTATGTAGGAGCCCAGGGAGCAATTAGGGATTGGGTGTCTTGCTCAGGGACACCACGACTTGTGGGAATTGAGTCTGTGACTTTCGGATCGTGAGTCGGCTGCCCTGCCTCTACCCCCAATAGCTGGTCAGAAGAACGTGAATCAAGAGACACAAGAAAAAAACAAATACAAGTCCGAGAAGTCAAACTCAGGTGGAGTTGATCAGGGAAGATGAACGGTGGAATTTAAACAAGAGGGAAAATATTTCCATCTGATTAAATTAACCAGAGCAACTGAGGAAGAAACTGGGAAAATAAAGTACAAGAGAATAATTCTTATTCAGGCAGTTACACAAACAGCAGGACAAAATCTTAAAAATGACCACTCTAGTGGGAGAAAGGGTTAAAGTTTTCACTCTGGGTTCTTTAAGCAGGTTGAGAGGAGTAATTCCAGGTGTTCCAATCAATCAACTTTATTTCTATAACACATATGTAGCCAAAGTGCTGCACAACAAGACAAAAAGACAAATTAAGACAATAACAACATTCAAAGAATACACAAAGAAGCATGCACATACCAGTTTCATGGCAGGTGTGTTAAGATGCCATAAAAGATAAGATCACGTGTTAAAAGCCAAAGAATAAAAGTGTGTTTTAAAAGAGATTTAAAAACAGGAACAGAGGAGGTCTGTCTGACCCTCAAGGGTAAGTTGTTCCACAACCTGGGAGCAGCAACAGCAAACGCTCGGTCACCTCTGAGCTTCAGCCTTTAGGGACTGTCAGCAGCAGCTGATCAGCTGATCGTAGGGATCGGGGTGGACAGTAAGGCTGAAGCAGCTCAGACAGATGTGGTGGGGCAAGGTTGTTCGAGCATTTGAAAACAAACAGCAAAAGCTTCAAATGAATTCTGTGGTGCACTGGGAGCCAATGAAGGGACGCCAGGGTGGGAGTGATACGCTCGCGCCTACGGGCCTGAGTTTACAGGCGAGCAGCAGAGTTCTGCACAAGCTGCAGACGGGCTCTGGCTAATGCCTGCATACAGCGCATTACAGTAAGACGAGCTGTGATAAGAGCATGGATTAATTTCTACAAGTCAGGTCTTGGTTTCACTTTTGCTATTTGGCGGAGTTGATAAAAACTCATCTGAACAACACTGCTGATCTGTTTTTCAAATTTAAAATCAGACTCAAACTTCACCCCCAGATTGGTGACACAGTCCCTGAAAGAAAATGACAGTGAGCCTAGAGCTATGCTGGGAGCGGGAGAGCAACTCGGTCCAAGCATCATAACTTCAGTCTTGTTCTCATTTAGACTAAGGAAGTTAAGAGAAAGCCATGCCTTGACATCATTAAGGCAGTGTGTAAGTTGTTGAACTGTGTTGTTCTGTGCCTTGGGAAAATAGATCTGGCAATCATCAGCATAGAAGTGAAATGAAATGCTATTTTTCCTGAAAATAGAGCCGAGAGGGAGTAAGTAAAGGGCAAATAAAAGAGGGCCAAGGATTGAGCCCTGGAGGACACCATGTGGAAGAGGAGCAGGGGAAGATATAAAATTGTCCATTTTTATGCAAAAACTCCTATTGGTTAAATACGACCGAAACCTATTGAGGGCGACACCCCTGATGCCCACACAGTGCTCAAGACGAGAGATTAAAATCCTGTGATCAACAGCGTCAAATGCAGCAGACAAATCTAAGAGCACTAAAACAACAAACTTTCCTGAACCTGTTGACAGAATATATCATTGGAAACCCTCAAAAGTGCACTCTCTGTGCTGTGGCGGGCTTTAAACCCAGACTGAAACGGCTCAGTGACACCATTGTCCTCTAAAAATAGTAACAGCTGCTTGTAGACAAGCTTCTCTAATAGTTTAGAAATAAATGCAAGATTAGAGATAGACCTGTTCCAGTAGAAATGAGAACAAGGAAACTAAACACAAAGGAGGGAAAGTGACAGAAGCAACAAGAATAAAAAGTAATGAAGTTTCTGGATATGAAGGAAATTCAAGCAGACCAGACCCACTCTGTCAACTTCAGCTGAAACTACAGGAAATGGACAAGGCAAGGAATAAAAACGGTGTTTCATATACTTCAGTGGAATGCAAGGAGTTTGATAGATAATGGACAAAAACTTAAAAATACATATATGAGTTAGAAATAGTTCCAGACAGAATCTGTGTACCTGGTGAAACCCCCTTTTAGATTTTAAATTCATGGATACAGTAAAGTAAAGACTGAAGTACTGGAAGTAGTGGAGGAGGGTGTGCAACATTTATCAAAGATGGAATAATACAACTCTACACAGCATGAATGAGCTAGCATCGAAACTGAAAACGATTTGGACGTCTTAAGATGAAGATTTTTTTAACCTAAAAATGGATATATTTAAGGAAAGGTGTAAACAGGAGAGAAATAAGGTGTGGGGATTTCAAGGCACATGAGGGCAGGCGGTGGATTAAAAAGAACGCTCAGGTTTTTACCTGCCACAGGTAGAGAGGAGGAGGGGAAGCTGGTGGGAGAGCCGGAGCGTCCCTCCACAGAGAACAGGTCCGCTCCCATTTCATTCTTGATCATCACGTCTGGAGCCGAAAAGGCCACGGGGCTGCAGATCCCCAGCTCCTCCTCCTGGGCCTGCTGCCTCCGGAGAGCCACCTGGACGAGAGGACAGCCTGCATGAGACCCACCTGAGGCCTTCACACCTGTCAGCAGCTCAGAACGACGTCATGAAACACCAGAACACCACGAGCGCTGCACTTGAATCTGAAGTCCAGAATCAAACTGAAACATTTTACAGTCAAGGACTGATCCTTATCAGTTTCTCTGAGTTCAGCCTTTGAATTACTGTCTCAGAGCAAAAGATAAAACTAGTCTGAAAATCATAAAAACTATTTAAAAAATGAGACAAGGTTTGGTTTTATAGACAACTACATTGTTGGTCAACTGTCACAAGATTTTCTGGCCTTAATTAAAATAATCTCTCTGCTTTTCTTTGTTTGAATCAAATAAAAATGTTCAAAAAATGAAAATCAGGAGACGTTTTTCCTTTAATTCAGTGCTTCTCAATTATTTTCTGTTATGCCCCCCCAAGAAAGAAGTAAACATTTCGTGCCCCCCCCCCTGCGTGCTGTGGGTGACAAGCGTCCAGATCCTCATCAAACCAGCAGCTTAACTGAGGAGGTGAAAGAATGGAGTCCTAACATTTATTAAACATTACTTCTATAAATTGTGCTTTAACAAACTCATCGATAAAACTAAAACATTTTGTCCACGCAGAAGAGGAAGGAGGGGGCACGTGCCGCTCTCGCTTGAGTTTACTGTTTGTTGCACGCTGTGACGTCCAGAGCGCGTGGACACAAAAACAGCAGCGGAGGACGGAGGACAAAACCACAGGGCGGCCATATTTGTTCATAACTTTATTATTAGGAACGCACGTGACAAAATGAGAAGGGTGAAAAAAAAAAACTACTCCCTGCAGCAAAAAAGTATGTTTTCTAGGGTCACACGCGCCCCCTGGCATTGCCCCGGGCCCCCCAGGGGGACGCGCCCCACTATTTGAGAAGGACTGCTTTAACTCAACCAGTTGGGTCAAAGTTACCCAACGTGTAACCCAACAGAATTAGTCAAGCTGTGGAGTTCATTTAAAAAGAGCGTGTCGCTGACTCAACCCCTGACTCGTGACTTTTGAACCAACATTTGGTCAAACTAACCCAACGTGTGACCCAACAGCTCTTACCCAGAAGATGGGTTATGAAAATAACCCAGCATTTTTGTGTGTGTAGTACTGTCAAATCAAATTTTTAAATTGGCAGCAGCCTGGCAGTCCCCGTCAACGTTTTTCCAGGAACTTCCTAGTATTAAATTGAATATTTATTCCTGGGAATGACATAACTCCTAACCTAACTGTGTTTTTGTCACACGTCACTTAAATCAGTGGGAATGTGCCACGCAACAACAGTTGTGTGTGACTGATGTGTTCAGTGCGTTGAACCATTGTTTTAACGGAAGAGGCAGCCATGTTGGATTTTAAGGTGTGGTTTGGTAAAGAACGTCAGATTTCAAAGTCAGAACTTCAACATTGAGGGTTATTTCCTGTTCAAGTTTCTGTCTTGGACCACGCTAGCTTAGCACCAGAGCATAAATGACTAAAAACATCAAATACCAGGTTTTATCCTGCGTTGATCCATTAAAGCTTTCTTAGACTTGAGGAGTGATGTTGTACTTGGTTGTGAATTCATTTAACTTCAGATAAAGTAAATAAAAGTAGCTATATAACATGGAATAAAACAAGCTAGAATATGAAATGGACTGAACCCTGTGGTACACCATAGTTAATAGTGAGACAACTGGACTAAGTACCAATATGTTGAACACATTAAACATTATTCCCATACCGGGAGTCGAACCCGGGCCGCCTGGTTCCTAAACGCTAGACCATATGGAAGGTTTTATTGTTTGTTTTTGTTTTTTAAATCTTCAGTAACCAGGCTAATCCCATTGAGATCACATATATACACATTTATACACATAATTTCAAGGAAAGCCTG